GGTGCATGAAGAGGAGGGGTGGTAGTGGTAGGGGGAATAGTTCCGGCATGAAAAAAAGGCCCTTGGCAAGACATTAGTCCATAGTCTCCTCTACTATCTGCTAGCATTTCCAAAGAGAAGCAAAGTCTAGTTAAGCTACTGAGATTTCTATAATCACAGTAACATTTTCCTCTCAAATCTTTCAGGGGGATTTCACAACCCAGGGTAGATATAATTATTACTCTCAAAAACACTTATTTTTTTTAAACTGTCTATACAGAGATTTGCATGAGCACTCAATTCCACTCTATCAAACCCAGGTATTCTGTCTCAGAATTTAGTAAACCAAATAAGGTTTGACTTAGTGTTCATGACAAATAAGTTCTGAGCCAGATATAAATTGAATAAGCTGATCCTGTAAAGATTCTTGAAATAAATAAAGACAAGAAAGCAAATGGCTATAATTTAAAGGTATTTTTACTGCATGTTGTCTTTATTTGATTTTCACACTAGTTTGACCCAGGTATAACTCTAGGTACGACAACAGATCTGCACTGGGCCTTGGGAAGTCAACTGTTTCTGCAGTACCCTTTTACACTCTAGGTTATCACATGGGAGAAACAAACCACAATAAAAATAAACCCACCATGCAAAATCCCCTTCTCTTTCACTCACCTACAGAACCATGTCCTGAATCTGCCAACTTCTTCTTAAAGTATGCCTTTTCTGATGAAATTACACCAAAATAAGAGACAATAAGCTGTAAGTACAGCTGATATTAAGCTATTAACGGGACACAGGGCTGAAGAATCCCACTGAATAAAAAGCAGGAATAAGATGCAATGACCAGTGAACGTAATGGGTAAAATCACATGGAAAATACAGAAGACACCAAAATCTGTGTCTGCTGGACAACTTACTAAGTTCCCGCTGCTTAATAATGAAAGCAACTTTGGGTATGGAACACACCACTTGTGCAAGACCTCACCAAGTCTGTCCTTTCACATGTCTAGCCTTGTAGCTTTATTGCATAGGGCCATATTATTTGGCATCTTGGGAAATTAAGCCTATTTGTGAGAAGCTGCTTTTACCCTTCATCCACAGAAGGGTGAGGTAAATAACAGAGAGGATGCAAGTTGACAAAAGATACTCTTGGTTGACCAGTAAAATGTACCCAGAACAATGTATTACACTTTCAGAAAACAGACAAGATGAAAGCATAATTAAGAAAGAGGTGAAGAGCAGATGCTCTGTGCCGTTTCCCCTTCATCTCCAACTGCTATGCCTACGAACCACTCAACTTCATCTATTCTTTAGAACAGCAACCAGAAGTCACGCAGGTTCTGAAAATCCTACAGAAGGAAATAGAGAACATTTCCAAGCAGTTTTTTTGCATATTGGATGCAGAGTAATTCCTCTCTTAGCAATGATGGATGTGGGCAGCCCTTGAACTTTCTAGGAGGTGCTAAGAAAAGACTCTGCTGCATCTTCATCAAAATTACAGCAAGAAGCATAGCTAAACAGCAATCTTTGCTTTTGTCATAATCATTATTCCACTCCTTTTCACATGTGAGAGGACAGCACGGATGCCTGCGTGACTTCCCCTGGTTCACAGACTTGCTGGCCTGAATCTTTTTTCCAGCCTACGGATTATCAGTCCGTTTTAGGTTCACCCAGTCTTACTGTAATTCTGAGCAGTTGATGGTCTGTCCAGCCAGCTTTTCTGGGCATTTCTGATGTCATCAACATAAAAATATCATGGAACTGTTGGAACAAGTCCAGAGAAGGGCCAAGAGGATGATAAAGGGGCTCAAGCACCTCCCGTATGAAGACAGGCTGAGGAAGTTGGGGCTGTTCAGCCTGGAGAAGAGAAGGCTGCATGGAGACCTCATAGCAGCCTTCCAGTATCTGAAGGGGGCCTATAGGGATGCTGGAGAGGGACTCTTCATTAGGGACTGTAGTGACAGGACAAGGGGTAACGGGTTAAAACTTAAACAGGGGAAGTTTAGATTGGATATAAGGAAGAAGTTCTTTCCTGTTAGGGTGGTGAGGCACTGGAATGGGTTGCCCAAGGAAGTTTTGAATGTTCCACCCCGGGAGTGTTCAAGGCCAGGTCGGATAGAGCCTTGGGTGACATGGTTTAGTGTGAAGTGTCCCTGCCCATAGCAGGGGGCTTGGTCCTTTCCTACCTAACTATTCTATGATTCTGGCAATCATTAAAAATCTTCTAAACAAACCAATGTATGCTTATTGTGACCCATTATTAATGGGCTTTGAATTTCATTCAGTCTCTGTGAACTATAATAAATAGGAGGAACAAAAAGCAACCAAATCCAAAACAGTACAGTGTTTAGGGCCAGCCAGCAACCCAGAACCACACAGCCACTTGCTCACTCCCCCGCTTTCCTTCCCCTGCTCCCGGAGGGATAGAGAGGAGAACTGAAAAATTGTAACTCCCACAGGCTGAGATAAGAACAGCCCAGTGACTAAGGTATAACACAAACCACTACTGCAACCACCAGTAATAATAAAAAGGGAAATAACAAGGGTAGAGAATACAACCGCTCACCACCCGCCGACTGATACCCAGCCCAACCCGAGCACTGATCTTGCCCTTCTGGGTAACTGCCCCCAGTTTAAATAGTGGGCATGACATGCTGTGGTATGGAATACCTCTTTGGTTAGTTTGGGTCAGGTGTTCTGTCTCTGCTTCCTTCCGGCTTCCCCCCCTCCCTGGCCGAGCATGAGACTCAGAAAGTCCTTGTTCAGAGTAAACATTACTGAGCAACAACTAAAAACATCAGTGTTATCAGCGCTGTTCCCAGGCTGAAAGTCAAAAACACAGCACTGCACCAGCTACTAAGAAGGAGAAAAATGACTGCTACTGCTGAACCCAGGACATACAGACTACAGAGGAATTTTGAGATAGAAGCCAAATAGGTGCCAGATACCATTCAGACATAAAAGAGGAACGGGTGGTCCCTGTGTGGATTGGGGCCTAACCATCCCCAAAATGTAGATGTCACAGAGCTGGAATGCAGCTGTCTAATTCAAGAAAAGACAGTTTAAAACTGGAAAAGAGAAAAAACACTGTGCCAATGGTGACTGCAGGGCAGCTTAGACAAGCAAATGTAATCAATTGTAAATTCGGCTGGAATACCAGCATGAAATGCCTCAGCGCTTACAGAGTGCCAAAGGATCCAGAGTTCACTCAGAGGCCTGGTTTCACATGTGCTCATCACCATACGAAAATGCAGTGAAGAAACGTGTATAATTACTTGTGACCACTCATTTCAGTGACTTAGACAACAAAAAACCTCAATCTGGAAAACTAACAATAATGCATAAATATATAGATGCATAATCTTACAGGAAACAACAGATTTTCACAGAATACTGGGTTCCTCTTTGTACCAATGGTCAGGATTAGAATTTTACATCTTCCCTACGCAGCCTTTCCTTACACTTTCTTTGATTTTCAAAGTTGCTGACAGAATATTCCAAGTAAAAGCTGGAAATTAAAGAACTCTGTTCTTATAAATATTAAAAATCTTTTTTTAATACTTTTAAAAAGTTTTACAACAAAAGGTAATTGCACTTAATTTGTCTGCCACACTACTGCAGCTAAGTTAATGTCAAAAAACATCTGATTTCCTCCACCCTCAGTAATGGTTTATTACACATCTTTGTCTGGCATGAAATAATTCTGTAAAAAATAAACCAAGCATAAATCTTATTTGGGTTACAGAAAGGTCTGAATCGTTTATAACTGAATTAATTGCTAGAAAGGCTTATGAGCAGCCAATTAGTAATATTTGTATTTGGATCTGCCAGTTGGCCCAGAACTGAAAATTAATATTAGTTTCAACATAAAGACTGTAGTGTTTACAGATAAAAAACATTCAATAAAAAAATCAAGAATATCCTTGAGAATTACTGTCTTGAATGGAACATGTCTGATAACTGGCCAGATAATTCTATTAGCCAAAACTGCCTAAGATCTTTCCCAACTGCTGATTCAAAAACTGATTCTGTATTCCTCATACAACATAGTAAATTCTTGGTGCTACACCTGAAACCTGTATAGATGCTAGTCACTTGTGTCCATTAGACTTCCACATGACTCTGAGGACTGAATTTTCCCCACTGATGTCCTGCAGAAGCATCCTTTCAAAGACTATTAAGGAAAACTCATGTTCTGTCATCACTGCTTACAAGATGGAAACAGAGGCTAAGATGTGGCTATACCACAGCTAATGGCTTCCAGGGGGACAATAACACTCTTCAGTTATTCTTTGCTCCACATCCTCTTCTCAAGCTGAATGTAACCCAGCAGAATGGGGCACCAGAGAAAACTACAATTTCTGGAAAAGAAATGTATTTTTGAGCTTCCTTATGACCAAGCAAAGACTGCTGTCTGTGAACCTTGTTTCCTTTAGCTTGTCATCTTCCCATCACCCAAGTCTGATAAGACAGCCCAAAATTAAATATGAGCAGAGAAATAAATAGATGGAGAAGCACAGAAAAGAAGCTACCACAAAATAAAAGAGGAAGGATAAATATTGACAAAGCATTCACTCCAATCAGAAACTTGTGTGTTAGGCAAGCATCTCTTAAGTTATTCTGTAGCTCCTGATCAGAATATGTATATTGTGAGTCATGGCAATTTAAAAATTTTTCACTTAATGGAAAAGTAAATAATTGTATAACATGTCAAGGCACAACTCTGGGTGTCCTCAGGCACTTAAGCTCCTGGACTGTGTTTTTCCTCTTTCTTGAATGATCTTTAACAGTGAACTGTTTTTTAATGTATTCTGTGTTCTTTACTACATACTGTGCTCTCTTTTAGGTTACAAACTTGAGAAGTTGTATAGCCAAAGGGGTTTTTCAGAAATTCAAAGTAACATATTTTGCCCATGAAGAATGCATTCACACTTTCTTGAAGTAAATTATAACAAAATCCTATATAATTAGAGCATAAACTTTAATGTATTAGTACCAGTAAGGAATGTTAGAAAAGGAAGACAGTGGAACACTCTGTAATGCTTAGAGGGGTATTTGAAAGCTTTTAAGCTAAGCATCATTTAAAACAGATTGTAATTAAGGATTTTTCTTTTTTTTTATTACATATTAAGGTCTCTAAGACCATAACTTCCATAAATAGTCAAGAATAAACTACATTCAGACGTACATATAAGCACATTTCTTGGCACAGACAAATGAAAACTGTGATTGCTGACATCTCTTTGAAGGAAGATTTTTCCCTTTTTTTTCTTCATCCCAGCCCTTGTTTTATTTATATGGCTCTGCACACTTTTTATTTTTAATTATCCTAAGGAAAAGAAGGGGTGGAGAGAAAGAGATCTTTGTTTTCCAACTGAGACAGTGAAATACATTCCAAAGCTGCTTTTGTTTTTAATTTACAGAAGCCCTCATGTCTAATCTACTAAGCCAACGAATAATCTGTTTGCTAGGTTTTACATGACAGTCATGAAAAGTGCATACAGTTGCTGACTTCATTCTTTTTTAGGATATGGATTCATCCTCTGCCACAGACTTGAAAAAGATTCTTTTGGAGAACTTTTCACAATTAATTTATTTTTAATTACACATTTTGTTTCTCAGGAGTTACTTCTTTTTTACCCTGTTGCTTGATATCTTTGGCTCTCTTTTCCTTAATACAACAAAAGGAGTGTGTGCCTATCTGAAAGATAATATAGCTAGGTCTGTACCCTTCCCCAACAAAAGCAGCTGTTTAAAAGCAAAAAGAAGGGTACTGAGAAATGTGTTCCCCTCAAAAAAAGGTACAGAGCAGATGAGCATTCCCACATATTTCCATACACAGGGAAAATTGCAATTTTCATCCTTCTGTCCTTTCAGAATAACTCTACAGCCTACCTTTCCTAATACTTAACGTGAATCTCAATATTTAAATACTTAATGTGTATCTTGAGATCCATCAAGAAATTCCATGAGATTATGGGGGAAAAGTGGAGAGAGCAGGGCAGCAACACAAAAATACAGTGTCTCTACACTGCTGTAAATATCTTCTCAGAAATTCATGTATGCAGGCAAAGCAGAAACAATGTTATCCAGTCAGATTTTTGGATGGTATGATCTATTGCAAGGAAATTTCTTCTGGTGCAAAGGAGCACACAATTACATTTTACTTACTTCCCTCCTCTCAATTCTAGTACGTCTCTTCCACTAGAGCACCATAAATCTAAGAAAGCAGTATCAATGTACTTCAAGGACAGAAAGATCAGTGACTGCCAGCTTCCCCAAAACTGAGTTTTGCCAGAATTTTCACAGGTGATGCCAGGGCTCAGAATGCATTGTGTTCCTCTGGAAATGCTAATTTATCATTTGTCCCTCTCTTTCTTTTAAAGGATATAGGGCTTGAACAACCCTGAAGCTAATAACATAACTGGTACATTTCTTGTCTTTAAAATGGCCCATTTATTGATGTCTTAAGGGTATTCAAACTGTACTTAGAAGTGGAACTTACTTTGGAGAGAAAAGGGAACAGGATGAAAATATCCCAGGTAAAAAAATTCTGCTCTAGATGTGCATCTTACTTTCCATAGAGTTACTCCATCCACAAGTATTAACCAATCTTTTCCACTTCATGCACATTCCCAGAGCATTGTGCTGAATGCTGTGAAGATCCTGGCTATATGACTTTAGCCCGACAGAAGCAAAGAAAACAAACAAAAAAAGGCAAAGAGACTGCAAATAAACAACCTTTTTAATATGCTAGACATGCAAACAAGAATTTGAGGAAAGTGCAGAAGTATTACTAGCATTTTAATTAAACTCACATCTATCTTGTTTGTAAATATATATGAAGGATGTTCATAGTCCCAGCCTTTGGGTGGTAGTCCCTAATTTACATAAACTAGAATAAAGGTATCCATTGTCTACCAGCTGTAGGGAAAAGGCTTTGGCCACAGCTTTTACTGCAAAATCATGGGTGTAGCCAAATAGAGCATTACTCAGTTGAAAAACAAAGTTTAAAGTTATTTGTATAAATTTCTTCACAGGCAGTTGTTGATTTTAGATACATTGCAGAGTGAGCAGATGAAAAGCTCCCCATTTAATTTTACTGCTGTGAATTCTCATTTAATTCACGGGGCTTATTTTACCGAATACTTTCCTTCTAGTTTATTCTTGTTGAGTTCTGTATTACTGTACAAGTCAACCGACTCTCATGCTAGCCAGAAAATAAAGAGGCATTCTGTGCTAGTGAGATTCAGAATTTATAATTTTTTTAAAGCCATCATAACAGATGCAATTTTTCAAGTTTTGTTAATGAATTTCTTGAGAAGAAAAAGCAACCAACAATCCAGAATCAGAATTTTTTCTTAATTTGTCTATTTACATTATGTTCACATATCTTTTTTACTCAGAGATTTAGAATCTATATTCACTGAGTCCGTCTTGCAAAGCTGTCAGTGCCCCTTCATGAAGTAACTCGTTTCTCCACCTCTCAAATACCTTCAACTCTCTTGGATGAAATAAGGAGATGCAAATTCTTTCTCAGACCCATATAAATATATATGGAGGGAAAAGCCCTATTCAAAGCAGTTTGCATGGAGTCAGAACATGAGCTCAAACCCTCTTTGTCCTGTATCGTTTACCTCCACAGCAGAGCAGCCTCAAACAATGTTGATGGATCTGGCATAAGAAGAATGAAAAAAGTTTCTTAATGAGGGCGAACTGTGGCACAGGCAGTCAAGCTATAGGATTAAATGTGAACAACTCAAATACGTGGCACTGCCACCATTCCCCGTAAGTACTGTAACTGAGACAGCTTGCATTGTCCTGCATTTCCCCTCCATTCCATCCTTCAGCCAATGTAGTGATGTAGTGTAGTAAAATTAGATGGAATGATTGCAAGAAACTGGTTTGCAGGAGGCTGGGGAAAAAAATATTTTTTTTTCTATCACATGCCACCATAACTTTGCCAGCAGCTCCCAGGCCACACCTACAGGCAAAGACAATTTAAGAAAGTAATGCAGCTTCCCTCTCAATGCTCCTGGTCAGGCTGCTGTGCCTTTCATTCATTTTTTTTTTTTTTTTCATTTCCTGCCTTTACAACCCCCGTGAGGCACATGTTCCTCAAAGCGAGAACTACTCAAATATAGTTTACGTTACCCCACAGAACATTATAAAGAGGCAAGAAAATTGTCAAGCAAGGTGACAAGTTTTACACCAAAAATTATTTTGTAAACTCTCTGAGATGCTGTCACAACAAACCCAGAGGAAGAATTCTACTTTCTCAGCAGCCTATATTGGAGAAGGTGACAGAAGAGCAGAAAGGGAAAAGGAAGACTCTCACATGTGCTTGGGATGCTCTTCAGATCCTCAGCTTTGTCTATACTTAGGCTGCTAGATGATTTATGATCGCTAGTCTCTGCTGCCAGTGCAACTGTTCACTTCAATTCTGCATGTTCCTTGATGGGTTGGTTACATTTTCACAGATGCTATCATCACATCTTAACTGTAATAATCATTTGTTTGAGTTGTGCTGTTACTGTGCTAAGGCTGCCAGCCAGCTCTTCTGTACTGAAATGTCCAGTGCTGGTGAATAGTGCAACTGCCTGATAGCAAGCCTAGAAACTCCTTCTTAAAATGTTTCTTAACTTAGCACTGCTTTGTAGGGAGTGATTATTTCCATGACCTGATGAGAGAAAATATGATGGAAAGAATGAGTGCCCAACAAAGCAGCAAATAAGGGTATGGACAGGTGACTGCAAACTACAGTTAGCACAGCTTAACAAATTCCCACTTAGTAGACAAACTGTTAAGGGACCACACCATACTTGTGATTCACTGTTATTACAAAGGAAAGTAGATTAGATTAAACCAGTTGTTAGTTGAAATCATGACATTCTAATATGTAATACCTCTTATCTTGGAATTATAGGCTAGAAGCATGCACATGAGTAATTAGGAACAACTCCTTAAGTTATGAAAGCCCAATTACTCACCTCTCCCTGTTCTCTAAAGTTCTACCCATTTGTTGCAAACCAGTGCTTGGACTACAATTTCCATCCTAAAAGCACTCATAGTTCTCACATGTACTTTACACAAATAAACAGAAATATAAAATTTTCAGCTGTAAATTGGTATCCACAGCAGTCAGTAGGACTAGATCAACAGCAGTGCTTCTGCTCATAAGATGAGACCAAGGGGAATATACCTGCATCTATACTCAGGCCTATTACAGACCTATTTGTCTCAGGGGACTTAACCAGAGCACAGTGTAACTTCCTTCCTCCTTGTGCACCAAATTTCCTTTTCAAAAGGAACCCAGGTTCACAAGGGGACTGTGCATCACATTGCATTCTGACTCCCAGTTAAGCTGGGATAGTCTGTATTCTGGAGCACAAACACAGCCAGCAGTATCTTGGAAAAGACCAGCCAATATATTCAAGGCTCTGAGGTTTATTAACACGAGATCTCCCATGCTTTCAAATGCCAGTTTCTCCACTGAAAGCTGTAACGCAAGTGCCAGTTCCAAGAAGCTCATGATTCTTCACAAACTGTTAAATGTACGTATTCACCAGCACAAAGTTACTGAGGATCTTCTTGCCCTATGTGAAAATTCATCTTAGCTGAGTCAAAGAATTTTCCCATCTTGACTTGGACTGAAAGTACTGAATTCTGAATATGAAGAAATAGCTATGGTTATTACATTGAATAACATTAAAGAGCCTACAAGGTAAGCAAATGAAGCAGGTATTATACAACATACCATAAAGCAAACAAGGTAAGCAAATGAAGCAGGTATTATACAACATACCATAAAGCAAACAATATAAGCTAAACATTATAAGATGAGAATTGATCAGTGTCTCACAAGTATGTTTCTCATTTTAAAATCAGAATTGTTGCCTTTTTAATCTTATGAAAGTTTTAGGGGCATGATGCTCTGTGACACTTAATGGGAAGCCAATTCTTTTTTCAGCTCAAAGAAGAATGGAACTGCTATGCAACCACTTTGTGGCCCATGTGACAAGATCTAAGCAAGGCACAGAGAAATCAGGCTTCCTTCTTTTAAACACTACTCTCATTAACAAAAGCATCTGGAGCTAGTCTGGTTATTAAATACACTCGTAGGGAGATCACATTGCCTAGGTGGCACTAAGTAAGTAGTTCTGTATCATCTTTGTTTTACAGCTGCCAAAACCAACCAACCAACCAAACAAACAAACAAAAAAATAAGCAACATCCCCCCAAACAAAACAAGCAAACAAAAAAAAAACAAACCCAGAAAACCAACCAACCAAACAAAAAACCACCCCACCAACAAAACAAAACACTCAACCCCCCAAAAAACACAAATAAGCCTCAGTTACCAGCTACCACCTTAACAGTGGTACTGTTACAACTTCTTAGTAAACTAGTTCACTGAAAACATCTGGCTTAAAGTAGCTGGGTTGAAATATGGAGGTGGTACACTTGCTTGCTTGTCAACTGAGGACAGTTTACCAATCCAGTTTACAGCGTGGTTACACAGAGATACATAGACACAAGTAAGACAGCAAGATACAGCAATACCAGGGCATTTTTTGATACTGTAGCAAGCCCATCAAGGAACTACACTTTCTACATACCCCAAGGAGAGGCTAAGGCCTGTAAGAGCAGTTTGGATTCTTAGAAAAACAGAACATTGCATTTTTATAAAAAAATTTACTTAGTACTTATAATACTTCACACATTACATCAAAATACCCAGGACACGACACAGGAGCCCATGTGCTAACTTGATTAACTAATAGCAGGACACTAATCTACTTAATTAATGCATCCTCTGAAGCGCAGATAGGAAAACAGAACACAGAGGAATGAAGTTTCTTGAAAACAGAAATGGAGCAAATGACAAAATATTCTTGCAGGAATATCCAGGTCCCTAGTGAGTAAAAAGGTGAAGCCCTGTATTATTCTTTAAGAAAGTGAATTTACAAGCCACATACCTTGAGGATCTATTTTTTCTTATGGCTTTTAACTGCTCCCCCCACCACAACTCCAAGCCCCTTAGCACTACATAACCAAACTCAGATTTTCTTTTAGCCTTTTAACACTCCTGCTCTATTATTGTAAAGGTCATGTCCTCAAAGCAGGACCCTTATCCCATCCTTTCCTAACTCTGACTACCCCATCAATCCAGCACCTTTTCCTCTACCTCCCAACCCACCTGAGTATATGCAACATATACAAGATAGCTTATTCCTTTTTCAGGACAGCCAGTGTAAGGTAGTCTGATATGAGAAGGCTATCCAGGCTAGTTTTCCAAAACTCCAGGCAGTCACTTTGACTGCTAATGTCAAAGACAAAGCTTGTGTATTAATAAAACTGGAAACTACTACCTTGTCTCACATGGTGAAATCCTGCTCTGCTGGGTTTGGGAATGAAGATTAAAGACTGTGTGGTCAGAACTGAAAGGCATAAAACCAAACACCTTCACACCAAGTAGTTACTTTTTTGTGGCCTTGACTACTAACTCAAGGAGCTGTTTCCAAGCTCACCCTAGTGATGACACACTGAATTTCATGGCTGGGGGAAGAGATATTATTCAGCACCTCACTTGCTCCTCCACCACATATTCAAGAAACAGAACCTGAATAGCAACTAAAGGCTTGGTATATTCAGTCGAGATTAAAGGCTGCATGTTCAAATAGGCAGTAACTTGGGTGGGTTGGTTGAATTCTCCCTACAGTTGTTTTATTCTGGGAACCCCACAATGGAGAAAAGAATTCTTTTGATATTCACATTTCAAAGAGCACACTTTTGTGATTGTTTTCAGTAGATGATAGCACTACTGATTTATATAGACTGTGTATAAACCTACACATGCATATGCACAAACATACATGCACAGCATATACGTAAGTATATGTAGAACTGTCTGTAACAAAGAAGGAGATCCTTTCATTTTGCCTTTTTTGCTTCTCACTCCAGGAATCTATCCTTGATCTTGACAGAACTGATAGTTTATAATGAATACTTTTCCAGCTTTCATGACTGGCATCACAGAAACACCTGGGACTAAGATTTGTTCACCACAGGTTTATTTATTTTTTAGACATAGCTACTGTGCTGTTTGCCTCTAATAAACATTTTTATTGTGTTTAAATATTTTATTGGTTCAGGCAAAAACAAAGCAAAAGAAAACAAACAAGTAAACAAGAGGGTCTGCTGTGTTTCTACAAGTGGAAAGAGACCCTGAAAGGATAAACTGGGCCAAAGTCACAATACATGCCACTGACTGCACTGCAGACAGTCACACAGCTACGCATGACATAGTAGCACCTCATTTTCCCTTTAGTTACCTACACAGAGAGATACAGGAAAATGGTGATAGCTCTCAAGAAAACCCTGATTCCTATTTAAAGTACTTGGACGGTGCTCAGAAATGTGGCATTCACTTTGTATTACACTCATCTCTACAACAACCCTGTGAGGTTCTGAATATATTATTCTCATCTAACAGGAACCAATAAATTAAAAAGGTAAATGATCTACTGAGGGTGACACCAGAAACTTCTGTCAAAGCTCCAAGAATCTCACATTTACGACTACAACATGTTTTGTTGCATCAGTTTAATACAACTGGTAACAATCCCACAAATAATATCAAAAGGTGAATAAAACATCAGATGTACAGCACAGTAAACCATATTTCCGAAGAAGAAATTTAAAGATGCAATACCCCATTAATTTTATTTGAAGGAACCAAGTCATCGCAGTCAGAGAACATTCAGGATCTCCACTGATGTGGTCAGACTTCCTTTGTCATTATGACATCCCTTCCTACTTTCTTTCTTCCTATTTGTCTGCTTAAGATTTGAAACCTCTTGAATTAAGCTATTAGACTTAAAACTGCCTATTCCATGATTTTAACTATTTCCAATTACAACTACTCTTCTAAGTAAATTATAGAGATTAGAAATAGAACTATCTGAAAAAATATGAATTGTTTTAGTTAATCTCTTTACAAATGCTCTTGACTAGCCCTGTAAACAGGGGGAAAAATAATTGAAGAATCAAATATCTCACAAAATTAAGAACATCTGTTCTACAGGTGAGGCTTTGTTATTTAATCTACATAGAGAATGTGTAACCTACAGTTAAAGCCTTGGTTTGCTGTCTTCTTTGTACATATGAATAATTCATGTTAAATTGTCTTAAAACACAATCAATGATCAATGTCTTATTTGATAACCTCTTTGCAAAAGTATAAACTCCACACAGGGTAGAAAATAGTGAAGAGTCACTCTCTTGTTTGCATGCAGATTAGCACGAAGAAGCTATTTTGAAGCCACTGAAACGCTTACATGAAAGTGCTAGTGCTTATGTAGGCAGTTTAAGAGAGCAACTATGGAGTCTGTAAACCTCAACATCCCCCTATAGTCTGCTGCTCCAGCTGAGTGTGGAGAGGAATAGCATTCTACAGAGTATTTTTGCTTCTTTCAGTACCTTGCATTTTAGTCTAGCCCATCTCAGGAAAGAAGCTTCACTGGAAGTTCAATCAATTCCACAGCTTCAGATGAACTTAAAACCAGCGTACATGAAGAGGTGAATAAAAGGGAGCCTGACCCAAACTAGCCAAAGGGGTATTCCATACCACAACACTTCATGCCCACTACATAAACTGGGGGAAATTACCAAGAAGGCCAGTGCCAGATCAGTGCTCAGGTCAGGCTGGCTATCAGTTGGCAGGTGGTGAGCAGCTGTATTCTCTCCCATTGTTATTTCCCTTATCATTACTATTATTGGTAGTAATGGTTTTGTGTTATACCGTAGTTACTGGACAGTTCTTATCTCAGCCCATGGAGTTACATTCTTTTGATTCTCTTCCTCATTCCTCTGGGAGAGGGGGTGGGGGGAAGAAGGGAGGAAGTGAGCAAGCAGCTGCATGGTTCTGAGTTACTGGCTGGGCTTAAAGCACGACACACTAAAAACTCCAATAACTAGCCAGGAATTTCACAAAACTCAAATCAGGGTAATGGCATGCTTTCACTTCTGTTGCATATCAGTTCTTTCTGGACATGTATTTTGAGAAGAACGAAATAACTAGGTGGGATCTCAGGAAAAAGGGAATCACTTCCCAGTTCTGGCACATTTTAAACAAATAGTTTAATCTTCAAGTCTTAGCTCCCCAGCAGTAAAAAAAAAAAAAAAACAGGTATCAGTTCATTTATTCATTCTCATTTACATAGGTTGTAAATGCTGAAGGGCAGAGGCCATCTCTTATTATGGATTTGTGTAGTGTCTAATACAATAGAAGTATGAACACAGCAGGACCTTTAAGAGCTATCTCATGTTTGAAGTACATTCAAAAATACATTGTTCCATGCTGTATGCCCCCAGAGCTTATTACAGCAACAGCTAAATAAAGGATTCACAAGCACCGACCATAATTTAGTGCCAGAAATTAAGGGGTCAAGAAAAGTATCTATTAATACTTGCCTGTCTTCATTCCTTCCCTACATAGATTGCCAGCATTACAGCATGTGAAGAGAGAAGGAGAAACAAAATCTAGATCTGTTTTTGGTTAATAAAGAATAACAAAAAGCTCCTAAGAAATCTCAATACAAGTTCTTCAGCCCTAAATTGCGCCCCCCCCCCCCCCCCAAAAAAAAAAACCAACAAAAACACATAAATTGGCATTCATTAATGAATAACAATCCTTTTGCTTTGTCTGGCAGGAAGAGCCACCTTTTCTAAGGGAGAAATACACAATAATCTAGAAATCCTGTTAATAACATAGAGTCCTGAACTTTAATTTATTAATGAATGGACGTGCACCCATGCTGTAATCAGGAATTTCAGCATCGCCTTTGATGCTTCATTGGTCACAAAGCTCTTACAAAATGTTTGAAGTGTCTGGCTGTGTAATAATGATTTATAATTCTCTTGAACCAAAGCAAAATTTCCTAGTAAAAATCATTTTTGAAATAAAAAATAAATTGTGACTGGAGGGTCTGGGTTTGTTTCAAAAAGAGATCACCCACAAGCAGCAAATTATTTAAAAAGCCACTGGTTCTACTGTTTTGAGATAGCGTACAACTCAGAATTTCAAAGTAGTGTTAATTAAGATCAGTTTATTAAAATGTCAATCTTGCTAACCAAAAAATTCTCTACCATGAATACTAGCTGCAAGTTCCTTTATGTTCAACTTTTCATGAAGAAAATTATTTTTCCTCGCACCATATATTCAGCTTTATCCCTTTTCCTACTCCTCCTTCCTTCCTCCCCCCTTTTTGTTGGGGTTTACCTGCAGAATAAGTAGTCTTCGTATGTTTGTCAGATTAATGCTTCTTTCCTCCCCCCATTCTATCAGAAAGGTCTCTGAATCATGTTAAAACAGATTTAAAAAAAAAAAAAATCTTAAAAAATGTTAAGGTTTCATGACCTTTTCAGGTCATTTTCCTTTTCTGCTCAGTCCAATGCCTACCAGAATAATTTTTTTTTTTTCTTTTTACTTCAGAACAATGTGGATCATATTTTAAATTCATTTCATAGCTTTATTATTATGAGTGCTTCCATTCCAAGACTTTTCTCAGAAAGCACAAGGAAAAGGAGTGGACAGAAATGAAGCTGGCAAGAATGTCCTTATCACTCTCAACAGTTTTGGCAAAAATATTTAGCAGAACAGTCCAATATTACAAAAAAGTCTGCCAGGGAAAAAAGAATGGACATCGTACAACTGGAGACATCCCTCTGCATTACTCAGGATATTGCAGCCAAAGACAATGAGGGGGGGAGGGAAGGTTTTGGAAAAACATCTTAACTTTCCTCAAGTTCTTCCAAGTCCTCACACCAAATAGGGGGCTTTATTTTGCAAAATATTGTCGTTCCTTCTCTGAATACATAGTAGCTGTGAAAAGTGTTGAGTCAGATAATTAACTGTTTAGGGTATATGTCGTAGCTGATCTGCTCACACCAGCTGTGCAGCCAAGCAGAGTGATTCTGCTCTGGCCTAAGATAATGTTTCTTCTGCTTATGCTAAAACAGCAAGAGGAACTGAATTTATTCACAGGTAAGCAGCCTGTAACCATATGCAGCACTTGCACGTGGCTGCAATCAGACTCACATTAAGTATACCTGTGTTATATTTAGTTCAAATTTTAGCAAAAGGAACCTGGTGAAGGCAAGAACAAGATATCAGCTTCCCTTGGGACAGGTACCAAAAACAGTTTGGAGTTCACAAAACCAGAAGCACCATATAATAAATAAGCTTGTAAGCATCCAAAACCACATCTTAGGTGCCACTGTTACCGTGGTCAGTTCACAGACAACCAAGACTCTTCTAGCTCTTTCACACAGCCTACTTTCCTCCAGAGGCAGTTAACATCACTTTGGTTAAAAGGTGTAATTGATGTCTTCTTACACTGTTAAATTACCAAAACTCAACCCCATTGGCTTTAACTGGTCTTTATGTAAATTTATCTAAAATGTCTATTGCTACACTTATATTCCATACAGATTAAATCCTTTTCTTCTGTATTTGAACCAGGTACAATAACAGTTTCCACCCAAATTTCTGAGTTTAAGTCATGGATAAGCATCAGAGCATAAGCTCCTACTCTGCTTCCCATGGAAGAACAAGGACTCTGATGATTACTGGTCAATTCAAGAGAACTGATATATGACAGAAAGCACTGAAGTCTGGGATCCACCACTGCAGGGAAAAACTGTTCTCACAGATACCATGTTTCTTAAATGATAGTGTATCCCAGATCACAAACTGTTTAATCAGCTATCTTCTGACAGGCTTCTAGTTTGTAAAGGGAAAATTACTTTTCTGCCGATTTCCACCAGGTTTCCCTGTACAGACCTTGCTTGCTTGGGCATAGTCACAGCTCAGTGTAATGTAAATCAACCTCCAAACAGTCTGTTAATTTAGCTTCCTCTCACTGAAGTGAATGCAATTCTTGCCCAGAAGAAGAATCTCAGTCCTTTCACTTTGAGACTAAACATTTCCTGCCTCTACTCCAAGCCTTTGGGGTTTTTTTTTTTGGGTTTTTTTTTTTGGTTTTCCTGTGTAGAAGAAAGCAACTAAGGCTGGCAAAATGCTTTATCAGTTTACACTCCAAAAAACAATAAAATCCTTAGTCACAATAACAAGCCACCATTTGCAAAGTATGATGTGTAAGCACATTCCCTAAAGCTGTTTATTGAATTTGAGGGGAAAAAACAAAACAAACCTTAACCCAACAAAAACACACAATAAACCAAAACATTAAAAAAATTAATACATCTAAAACCTGTAGGAAGTAAATTATGCAACTCCTCCCATGATATCATGGGGACAGGGGAATGGAGCAATCCTCATTAAAATCTGACAAACATAGCAAGACAAAGCTTCCAGTTGCACTTTGCTTTCACTAAAGGTACAAAATTCTATTGTCCATCTTTCCAAAACTTTCTTCATAATACAATACATTTTTGTTAGCTGCTCCTACATTATAATAAATATTTTGCAAAGACTTTAGAAAATTACTTTTTATCATTTTTATTACAGTTATTACTAAATTATAAATACTAATAGTTCAAATCCTGTTTCACCACAAATACCTGCAAAAGACTTTATCACCATTTGAAATGCTACAAACCAAACGCCAGTCGAACAGTCAAGCAGCCTGTTTTCCAAAATTAAGACAGAGCATAAGCAGATAATAAGTTGTTTAGAAAGCAAAACAACCAGATACAGAATAAGTTGGCCAAATTTTAAAATTCCAAGATGTTAACAGTTTGTTGTTTGTTTTTTTTTTTTTAAACTGAGTTTTAAGTATCTATAATTTTTCATTTTTATTTCTGCATGTTTAGGTATTTTATATATTCATTTCTTTACATGTCTTTATGCAGAAACATGTCACATTTATATGTATAAACACTATGTGTATAAAAAGAATAATTCATATCATGGTTATATAGAAAGATGCAGCACCCAAACTCCTTCTGATCACATGAATTGATTAATATCAGTAGAAGTAAGAGAATGAAGACCATTATAATGAGATCCCTAATTCCAGTAAAATACAATACTGACACAGTAATCTAACAACTGTAACATTTATAAAGGCACCAAGGAGCCAGTCTGCATGAAATCAGATTTGAACACGTCATCTACACAAAAAAATTAAGTCAATACAGCAGGTTTTACAGAACTAGGATAGCCCTATCTAGATAAAACAGGGATGAAACAGAGGTGCCTTGAAGATACCAATGCATTGAAGCCAAATATCACTTTTTTGAGCACCATTAGGCAAGCACAAAGAGACACTGTAAGCAGGATATGCTTAACTGAATAGTATAATGCAATTTTCATTGCTTAAACACATATAAAATACAGTAAGGATTTAACAAGCTATAAAGCCAGGTGTTACAGCTAACCATCCCAATAAGTCAGCTGCACAGTGTTCCCAGTTCAGGCAGGCAATGATCTGCCTCTGAGCTCCCTAGAAGGCCTTCTGAGCCTGCCTGAGTTGCCACCTTTTACCAGCTCCATCAACACAGACTCTGCCCCTGCTTTGTGACACCCCTTTTCCTTTTAGGATTCTACACTTTTCCATGCTGGCTTTTTTTCTCTAATGACCCTGTCATGAGTCTGCCCATGTTTTATACCTTTCTTTTCTCTTTAGAAATTTTTATCACAGGTCTTCTTTAGCACCTATAGTCTAGATTAAGCATCTATGCTCCATTAGAGCTGGGCCCTGAATCCGTGGTGTGCAGGGAATTTCACAAACACACACACACACACACACACAAACACAGAATCTTACAGCAAGAGCTGCTGGCAGGGCACTACACATCTCTGACAAATCCACGTCTCCAGTATAAAATGGTCTAGAATTTTGCAGGGATCTAGATGTCAACACTGTGACATCAGCTTCTTGCTATACGCAGCAGCTTTCATGATAGCATTTTTAGTACAGTTGTGTTCAGGGATTACAGTGAAGTGACACAATGATGTAATCTTCAACTTCTAAACTAGCTTCCTTCACCAGCCTGGAGCACACTGCCATTGTACTCCGCAGTTTCCTTTGAGACTTCATGAGTTATTAAGCAAAGCCAAATAACTCATTTATAATAGCACATTATACAAAAAAAATCAAGATGTTCACCTGGATCTCACTGGGGAGAGCAGTGTCATGTGATAGATTTACACCATCTTCAGGAACTTTTTTTTTCCTAATTGAAAAAGGGAGGATTTTCATGTAACTAAGCTATCTATGAAATTTAAGCAAGGAGTCAAAAATCCATCCTACATTATTGCACAAACTCAGTGTAATGAAGTAATTTACTCACAAGTCCATCCACAGTTAGTACCATAGAATCACAAAATGTTTAGGGTTGGAAGAGACCTTAAAGAAAGATCATCTAGTTGCAACCCCCCTGCCACGGGATCAATATATTACTGTCTAGATGTCAAACTGAGGACAGACTGGACAGACTTAGCTTCTCTGTGCTAATACTTCCCCTTTCAAAACACATACTCTGAAGTATGGTACCTTAATATTTCTTTAACACTTACAGATTCTCAGGTAGAATGTATTGGCATTATGTAAGTCAAAGTATTAATCTATTATTACCTATTTAACACCTTGTTAAACATTACTTAACCCACTACCATAAACCAAATACATCCCCATTAAGTTAAATATTGCTAATGCACTATTGTTTAAATTAAGCACTATTCTAAGCAGCAGTAAATGTCATTCACTGTCATTAGGGTAAATTGGTTCCCTGGGCAACATACCAGGAGCACAGGTGTCCTGATTACGTGGGTCCTCATTAAATACAGTACACTATTTCTTCAAAAATGGAACTCAAGCTGATTGTGACAAGAAAAAAAAACCAAACAAAACAAAACACCCCCCCCCAAAAAAAAAACAACCCATACAATAACAACAAAAAGAAAAAGCCACAAAGAGAAAAACAAAGAAAAAACAAAACAAACCCCCAAAACTGACAACCCTCCACTGTTTCTTTTTGCAACAAGGGAGGATGCACAAACAACTACCAGAACATACACATGCTCATCTCCCTACAGTATTTACAGATCTCTTTGCAGAGCAATGTTTGCCAATTGTGTCATGGTTTTGTCACAGGCCCCGAACACAGAAGAATCTCTACCCAGATAGGGATCTATGCGAGGACAAGAAACTATTGAAGCCAGGCATCCTCCTGCAGAGAGCTCTTTATGTGACTGAAACCTTGAAGCAGATAAGGCTCCACACAGATGGAAGTACTGCTCCTATAGCAAATTGC